CGCAACTTATGCTATTCATAACTAATTCAGCATGTCCATGCCGAAACCTGACACAATATATACTAAATCCAGCTCAATAAGACTCATGCCAAGCACACCACACTTAACCAAACTCAAAGTCTGCCTCTTCAGCACATCTACTCCAAAATGAGAGCCAACCCAAATCACCGAAGTAAACGCCAGCTAAATTCATGCCCAAACCAACCTCAACATAAGCCAAACCTAATCCACATAACCCTTAACCATGCAAACCCAGCCTATTTTCATACAAAGTTTACCTCAATCCAAACTACGCTGCACAATGCAACCCTATTCACAACTAATCCAGCACATCCGCTTGAAACCATACCCAACGCAACCTAAATCCAGCTCAACAGTGTAACAAATACGGCTTAAAATTCATAATTTGATCTGAAACAAATTTCTGTCTAGTTCATTCTTTTCTGGGAGATATAAAAAAAATATACGTTTGCATATTTTCGGTTGTCCCATTCATAACCAATCCAACACATCCACTTCAATATCAGATCCAACCCTAACTATCGAAGTCAACACCAGATAACCCATACCCAAACCAAATTTATCATAAGCCAAATCTAATCCACATAACCATCAACCCTGCAAACCCAGCCTATTCTCATACAAATTTTATTTCAATCCGAACTACGTTGCACAATGCAACCTTATTCACAACTAATCCAGCACATCCGCTTGAAACTATACCCAAAGCAATCCAAATCCAGCTCAATCAGATGCTCAACCCAGCCTATGCAAACTTAAAATTTGTCTCTATTCAAACCAAGCAAAATAACCTATTCCAAAATATTCATAACTAGGGCAACCAAAAATATGCTCAAAAAATGATAGTTTAAGTGTTTAAAAAATTGAAGAGTGGAAGTAAAGTCAAAGGTGATAAGTGCCAAAATTTCGGATTTTTAGTTAGATCCATAGAGATCTAAAATACCATAAAGATGTTATGTACCACTCTTTATGTCCTGACAAGGGTGTTATGTTAAAATGTAAATTTTTGCACTTGTCATCTTTGTTACTTCCACTGTTCAATTATCAAAAAGGAAACTTTGTCTGTTTGCACGTAAAACATTCTTTTACATTGAAAAACTTCGTTCCATTTCCACTGACGTTATAGGTACAAATATAAATGCTAGTACTTCACTAACAGTGTATGAAAAACCATGATTTTTTGAAATAACCATAGGCTTTTTTTCTTTACTAACTTAGCAGCTTCACTATTTGTGCTATTAATTAAATCCTGACCTTTTGTCACTACATCAACCTGTGTAGAAAGCAGAAGCCCAGCTGTTTCCAATGTTTTTATTGATGCACTAAGAAAGCCATAATTTGATGCAATGAAAATCAAGTCTGATTTTAGTGTATTGTCATTTAGTAGGTCCTTTGAAATTTTGATTGACGCAGCGTAATCTTCGTCTAATGCATCAAACGCATTCTGAATTATTTCAAAGTTAGTAGCATAGTAGTTTGCCGCTTCAATCCATGTTCCTCAACGAGTAGTTACCGGTTGGGTTGCCTGAGCTGCTTTTACTATGTAGGGAGCAGCATCTGATACAAAGAGTAAAATCATGTCTCTGTTGAAAGTCTCACCCAGAATCTTAATAGAATCAATCAGACTCAAGCCAAGCACATCAAACTTAATCCATGAAAACCACAATCATGCAGAACCTAGCTTATCCAAACTCAAGGTCTTCAGCACATCTACTCCGAAATTAGAGCCAACCCAAATCACCGAAGTCAAGCCACCAAACTCATACCCAAACCAACTTCAACATAAGCCAAACCTTATTCACATAACCCTCAACCAAGCAAACCCAGTCTATTCTCATACATAGTTTACCTCAATCCGAACTACTGTATTCACAATTAATCCAGCACATCTGCTTGAAACCATACCCAACACAACCCAAAAGAAATGTAGAAATTTCTTTCAAAATAGAAAAACCATGATTTTTGGAAATAACCATATCCATTTTTTTCTTTACTAACTTAGCAGCTTCACTGTTTATGGCATTAATTAACTCCTGAGTTTTTGTCACTATATCAACCTGTGTAGAAAGCGAAAGCCCAGCTGTTTCCAATGTTTTTATTGATGCACTAAGGAAGCCATAATTTAACGCAATGAAAATCAAGTCTGATTTTATTGTGTTGTCATTTAGTAGGTCCTTTGAAATTTTGATTGACGCAGTGTTCTCTTCGTCTAATGCATCAAACATATTCCCAACTATTTCGAAGTTAGTGGCATAGTAGTTTGCCGCTTCAATCCATATTCCCCAGTGAGTAGTTTCTGGTTAGGTTGGGTTGCCTGAGCTACTTCTACCATGTAGGGAGCAGCATCTGATACAAAGAGTAAAATCATGTCTCACCCAAAATCTTAATAGAATCATCGAAAAGTCTTGCAATAGTGCTACGATTCGCTCAATCCAGCACGAAATAAAAATTTTTGTTTAGCAATCAACTCATCATGATCCAAAATACTAATAATGACATTTGACACATATCTTCCTCTTGTATCTGTTGTTTCGTCGATTGAAATCCACAAGAAGCGACAGTTGATGCATTTCTATATGTGGTCTATGATATTTTTTAAAGTTCCTTAACATATGTTGTGCGAACAGTACTTTTTGATGGTATGATTCTAGGAATGATACTAATTTTTTGTTGCGCATATTATACAGGTTGTCCCGCAATGATTGTACAATACTTCACCAGCGTATTCTCTGGTCAAAAATAGACAAAAGAGTCTAATTTATAAGATTAGACTTTATCAAATATCTTTTTCGAGATATTCGTTTTAATTTCATAAATTGATCTATTATTAACATCATTAATTGTAACGATTTAGATGTAGTAATTGTTTTACTACTTTCTATGGGTTACTAATTGTATTTTTCAAATCCTGCACATTTTAAACTTCTTCAGAATAAACTATTTCTTTTGAATGTCATCAAAACCAAAAATTTTACGGATTTAAAAATGGTAAACTAGGTGGCCACGTAACAGGACCATGACTAATCCAATTATTATCAAATCTGTCATCTAAGTATACTCGAGTAGCACGTGCATAAAGATTTGCAAGCATTTGCAGAGGTTATTCACCAAATGTCTCAGTAAGCTCATTTTGTAAAAAAATATGGAAGCATCGGCTGTCAATCTATTTGGAATAAAAAAATGGACCTAATAACTGATCACCTACAACTCCGGTCCACACATTAACAATGATATCCACTAATGATGAGTTTCTAGTATTGCATGGAGATTGTCATCACTCAAAATGTGCGCATTATGGATATTAAGAATTCCGTTTCGAGTAAATGTTGCTTCTTCCGCAAACACAATGTTTATGGGAAAGTCGACGTTTAGTACTTCTTCCTATATGGCTCACCTACAAAAAATCTATTGTTTTTTGCTATAATTTTCTGTTAAAGCTTAAAAAGTGTTGTAATGATACGGATAAAGCAACTGCTCCCTTGCAGTGAACGGTTGCTTTCTTGTACAGAAATCTTTCTAATGCTCGTTGAGACATTTTTATCGATACTTCTCAAAACTGCTTCTTTTAATTTCACATGATGGAACTAAAACTTTGAATATCTCAACAATGGACCATTTTCGGACCTATGTTTATTAGGCTTTTTTTGTCAATTTTTGATCAGAGAGTATGCTGGTGAAGTATTGTACAATCGTTGCGGGACATTCTGTATATAGGTATCTCAGCGGAAATTAGTACACTACACTACATAGATCTTTTGTAAATTTAATATCTTTTGGTTTGAATGTGGAACATTCAGCAAAAAAGCCTTCAAAATCAGATCCAACCTAACTATGAAAGTCAACATCAGCTAACCCATACCCAAACCAAATTTATCATAAGCCAAATCCAAGTTAATTACATTCTAACCACACAGATCAAAGCTAGCCCATATAATCCATAACCATGTGAACCTAGCCTATCCTAACTTAAAATTTGCTTCTAGCCAAACCAAGCAAAATGATCTTAGTATTACAAAATATTCATAACCAATCCCCTTCAAAATCAGATTCAACCTTAACCCAGACATTACGGATTTATTTTTTGGTAAAAAAGAAAATGATATTATTTGTAGATATGGTTAATTATAGTTTATAATAATCAGATTTACCCATGTCTATTTTTTTTAAATTTTTTAAATTACAAAATTTTGAGAAAACCGTGGGTCCTTTTAAAAGGCCACTAGTAATATAGGATACCAATAGGTTTAGAACATAAATAAATGACACAAATCCAAAATTAACATATTATATTTTAAAATGAATAACACATTTCAAAAATTAATTTATTGAGTGTGATACGCCTTAAAACAGTCTTTGGGGTGCAGCCCAATATCACATTTTTCACACCTAAATTGCACTTTTTTGTGGCAATTGCCACATTTTGTTTGCTTTTCTTGATATATAATTACATGGTCGATCCTATCGTATCTAGAATAAGCATGCTCATTATTTGATGATCTTGGGCGTCCTCTTTTAGGTGGCCTTTTGTAAGTTTCCAGAATATTGGTTGCAATAGCTCTTCTGAATGTAAGTTGATCCATTTTTCCTCTTTGCATTCTATGAATCTGCCAGGCATTCTGTACTGCCATATCAATACAATGGGTAATGAGAGGAAAGTACCATTTCTTGCCTCGTATGGAGATTCTCTGAACGATCAACCCCTCCCATATTAGCATTGTAACATTTTATCACATGTGGCCGATCGATTTGGATATTCTTCTTCTCTTTCTGAGAATACCGCTTTATTTGACGAACCGGCTCAGAGGAACAAGCATTACTAGATATAGAAACTACGTTGTTATCATTCCACTTATTGCATACAAATACTTTAGCAGTATTTGACACACCATAGGAAGTTTCAAATTTGCCTCTCTTCTCTTTTTTTAAAATCTTTGACGAGCGTATAGGGCACGAACCGAGTCTATTCTCCCTCACAGTACCTGTAGCTTTTACACCTCTCTGAGAAAGTACATCCAATAATGGAAGGGTCGTAAAAAAGTTATCAAAGTAGAAATGAAAATGCATGTGCGGTTTTGATTCTCGCATAGCATCCTCAAAGCGTAAAACTACACCAGGTCCTAATCCCAAGTCTTTATAAGAATCGACATGTTGCTGTGAGAATGATCCCTGATATGGTTCAAACCATGTCACATATCCTAGTTTAGTTGATCCCACCCAAAATTTATATCCCCAACGTATAGGTTTTCCACGTATAAACTGCTTAGTTGGGTGACGTCCATAATACGGGACCATAGCTTCATCGATGCAGTAACTCTCTTCAGTTGGAGAAAACAGCATAAATCGCTGACTCATAGCATTGAATAGTGGCCTCATTTTGGCAAACTTATCGCTTTTATTGAGAGCGTTATTGTCGCAGCAATGAATATTTTGCATTATATATGTAAACCTGTCTCGTGAAATTGCTGAACTAATTAATTTATTATGACAGTCTTCAGCAGTCTCCCAGTACATATATCGTTTTGGCACCCTAACATAACCAGTAACCATCAAAACACCAATGCAGCACTGTATTTCCTCTACTGTTATATCTGCAGGACGGTTGTTTTGCCTGCAGTAATTGTTGGTATGATGACATAAAAGGTGTAAACCATCTTTATCAAAAAAAAATTCGAATAGATTGAGGGGAGAAGTATTGTTTGGAGGTGTGACTGGGGCCACAAAATCAGGAAAATCGTTAAGGGCAGAATTATCCGTCCATAGAAAAGACTTGGCTGGTGTTACAATTTCTCTTTTGTCTACTCTGCAATTTGAGACATATTTTGATTTTGCACATAGTACCGAGATAGGTACATCCTCGTCAGGATCCGTCTCTGAATCAGAGCCAATAACTTCGACATGTGCTCGTAGTTGACTGCTGGGTAGATTATTCAGATTTACCAAGTCCTCGTCACCAGAATCCTCGTCAGTATGATCCTCGTTCGCTGTTTCAGGCGGAAAAATTACCACGTCTATAGGAGTGTGACCTTCCTCAATATCCAAATTTTCAGCTTCGATTAAAAGTTCATGCAAAGTCAGAGGCCTTTTCCAATAGCTGTAATAATAATGACAGTTTACTATTAATTATTGTCTTTTTTCTTTGCCCTTATCGTACCCATAAATGAATATCTATTGGTTGTCTAAGTTACTAGCGTCCTTTTAAAAGGACGGTAACAAAAATGACCCCATAGGACACAAGAAAATGAATGCATTAATATTTTTACACACCAGAACCTTAGAACGATTATTTGTAATGACAATAAACATAGTTATAAGCCACAATTTTTCAAATCATCAGTGTTACCTACCTTCGATTATCCATGGTTCACTCACCAAAACAACACCTCACAAAAGATCGATTTGTCTTTATACAGTCTCGCAAACTGTTAAATAATTAAGAACGTTTCTACAACTATCAAGCAGAAATGCTAACAACCTGAGTAATGGTGTCATCTCGATTATTAAAGCTGTACTAGAATTTATAGAGCTCGGTACTGAGTCCTTTTAAAAGGACGCTAGTAATATTTGGGTTAACTATCGAAGTCAACACCAGCTGACACATATCCAAATGAAACTCAACATAAGCAAAATACAGCTTAATCACATTCAAACCACTAAACCTAACTCATATAACCCATAACCATGCAAATTTAGTTTGTACCCATCAAAATCTGTTCAAACCAAAACCACGCAACACAACTCAACCCAACAAATCCACAACTAACCCAGCATGTATCCTTTCTTGGGCAACCAAATGAAATTAATTAAAATCCACACCGTGAAAAACCATTAATAGAGCTGAGATCCCGTCGTTGCAACTTGCAACCATTTTGGAAGCAGCAAAAAGTATTTTTGTAGTGATTTTTTAGATCACTCATTATTTTTTTTCCATAAAACCACCAACACTCCGCTATAGAAGAACATTTTTGCTAAGCTCGTCATAAACATGCTTGATATCTGACAGAACATCACTAATCTCAAATTGTGTCTGAATCTTATAGAAGAAGCACATTTCTAAACATATCAAGAGTCAGGACTACTTAGGCTTAGGAATTTCTTGTTGCAGGTTTTGAATTTCATCACGATTTCTTCTTACTTTTTATTTTGTAAGTTTTTCTTAATCCTTTTAGTTTTCTATGTATTCTTTTTTATATATTTGTAATCTTTTAGTGATGACATTTGTGTTGAAAATATTTGATGATGATTTATTATCTCGATTACATAAGTCGTAATGGCAATAAAAAAAGTAATATTTAAAAACAATGACAACACAATCTCTTTATAACAATCAGATGAAGAAAAAAAAAGTTCATAAAAAGAGATAATCTCGCTCGTTAATAAAGAAATGAATTGCTTGAGTAACCGATGCGAGGTCCGGATAGGAAATCGTCCGAGGTGAATGCGAATATGTGAAATGGAAGGCGCATTTTTCGCACATTTCCCATTCATCTAGTCTTAGTTGGTATAAAACGCCTCCGCGTCTCTTCCTGTCTTAACGCTAACTAACTGGGCAACGTTAGGTGAAAGAAAGAATGAAGAGAGCATCAAACAATGGTATTATATAATCTCGTTTCACACTTGAACCAACACAGTCTATTTAAAAATTTAAAAACGAGAAAAAATATGTTATATTAATTTATTTTGTCTAATTTTGACACAGAAATAAACCCTATGTACAATAAAAGCAATTAGTTTTTACTTAAAAAGCCAATCCGGCTTCATTGGTGGTGTGAAAAACTTTCTCAATAGCGTTAACATAAGCGGCTGCTCTTAAATCTGTACCTAAATTGTGTTCTTTAGCAGCTATTAAAATCTCTTTAAACGTCCGTTCCATCGTCCAAGCTAAACCTGAATGAACGATATCCACTTCGGAAGCGCCATGAATTCTTTTTTGAAACGCTTCCGATGGAATGATCGGTATTCTTGGGGTTTCACCACCAAAGTGTTTCGCCAAAGACTCCTCAACGGAAGCTAATAGGTGATAATTTGTGTCTCTCTCGTATTTGAAGGTTAATCGTCCAAACGAAGTGTGATTAATATTTTTTAACCATTCGAAATAAGAAACGGTTACCCCACCAGAATTTGCATAAATGTCAGGGAGGATTATCGTATTCTTTTTTAAAAGTACTTTGTCTCCAGCTGGTGTTATCGGGCCATTAGCACCTTCGGCGATTAATTTGGTGTTAATATTTTGGGCAACCTCCTTCGTAATTAACTTCTCACCGGCTGCCGGAACTAAAATATCGCACGGTTCGAAAAGAAGATTTTTTCCTTTATAAGCTTCAGCACCCGGATAACCCACCACGGTCCCTTTACTTAATTTATAATTTTGCAATTCTAAAATGTTAATTCCGTTCTTATTGTATATAGAACCATCCATTTCGAGTATTCCAATGCATTTAGCACCTTGCCTACTAAAATATCGGGCTACGTGAATACCAACGTTTCCAAATCCTTGAACGATAAATGTTTTATTTTTCCAACCAACTGGTAAATTAACCAATTTCATAAAATGTTCGCTATTTATTACGTGATCGACACTATGAAAGATTCCTCTTCCGGTTGCAGCAGTTCTTCCATGAATACCACCTTGGGAAAGAAAAAAGGAGATTAATTAAATTAAGGATCTAATAAATACACTAAAATCAATTTCAAACTGGCTTAAACTCTAAAACTGTCAAGTTTGAAATTTTAATATCTTATGAGGCAAAACTAAGGGCATCCAAGAAACTGCAGATGTTACAAGGAAGAAGATTTCTTATAATAATAATAATAATAAGCTTTATTTCCATCTTTACAAAAATGCACAGAAAACGTCAAATAATATTCAAACAGTCAAATTTAATCTACTGTAATGGTTCCTGCAAAAAAATCATTTATCGAATACAAGTTTCGTTCTAAAAGATGTTGTTTGAGATAGCTTTTGAATCCCGTGGATGGCTTTATTTTCAAATTATTAGGTAGATGGTTGAAGACCTTAACACAAAAATGAACAGTACTTTTTTGTATCTTAGTATACCGCGTTTTTGGTGAAAGTAAATAGACATTTTCTACTCCACGTGTAACATAACAGTGTTGTTGTTCATATTTTTTAAAGAAAGTATAGTTATCTTTTATAAACATTGCGGATTCAAGAATCACTAACGACGGCATTGTCAGAATTTTATAATCTTTAAAAAAGGGTTTACACGATTCCCTCGTTTGAAGTCCGAAAACTGCTCTCAAACATTTCTTCTGCGCTATGAAGATACGACTTAAATCAACCGAATGGCCCCAGAAGATGACCCCATACCGCAGTCGCGACTCAACACATGCGTAATACGCACTTGTAGCCGCTTGCACTGAAACTACCCGCGAAATAGTTCTCAACGCATAGCACGCCCGATTTATCTTGATAGCTAAATCGTTAATATGCTGTTTCCATGAAATATTCACATCAATTTTAACACCCAAGAACATCACCTCTTCTGCACGGGTAAGTTGTTTGCCATTGAATTGCAAATTGATGTCACAGTTGGTCGCTGCAGCACTCCCAATCATCATAATGTTTGTTTTTTCAATATTAAGTTGAAGGTTGTTGTTAGAAAACCAGTTATACAGTAAACTGAGGTTATTTTGTATTTGTGCTGACAATTGTTGTTCCGTTTTCGCAGTTGATACTGTAGTAGAGTCATCCGCGAATAATATTAGTAAATCATCAATTACTCCAGGAAGATCATTGATGTATAAGAGAAATAGAAACGGTCCCAATATCGATCCTTGCGGCACTCCTTGTAGAACCCGTACCCATTTTGATGCTAGTTCATTTCCCTTTTGATCATAAGCGATAACACACTGTTCCCTGTCTGAGAGGTAAGATCTGAACCACTCTAGCGCAATACCTCGAATTCCCATTGCTTCCATCTTCATTAAAAGGGTGTCGTGATGAACACTATCAAACGCTTTGGTTAGATCCATCATTATGCAACCGGTAAGTTCGTTATTGTTTATTCCAGTTAGAATTTTTTCCATCAACTGAAAAATTGCTCTGGTTGTAGATCTACCCTCAATATAGCCATTTTGTGACTCATTCAGTATTTGATTTTTGTAAATGTAGCTTTTAAGTCTCATCAGTACTATCTTTTCAAAAACCTTCGCAACATTAGGTATTAAAGCGATTGGCCTATAATTCGAAAAGTCTGATTTGTCACCTTTTTTATACAATGGCCTTACTAAGGTTCTTTTCAGGTGGTGTGGATAAGTTGCAGAACCAAATGACAGGTTTATAATACTACTTAAAGGTTCAGCAAGATAATCGACGCAAGCTTTTAGAACAGAGATCGGAACTTCGTCGTAACCAACTGCAGACGTATTATTTAAAGACATTATGACTGATTTTACTTCACACGGATCAGTCAGATAAAACGCAAATGATCTCTTTAAGTCGATATTTGTTTTTATAGTGTTGTGTACTTGTAGATTAATCATTTTACCAACCGCTATATTGGCAAAATAAATATTTATTGCATTCAACAGTTCATCATTACTTTTGTAATTGTGTTGAAAATCACATAAATCGAGATCTTCAGATTGCTTATTTTGTCTGAGCGTATTGATGGTATTCCATGTAGCCCTTACTTTATTTTTAGCTGTTTCTATAAAATTGGTGAAAACAGTTCTTTTTGATATCGCTATTTCGTTTCGAACATGTCGGGAGTAAATATTGTAATATTCTTTATCAATTTTACCCATTAACATTCCTTCATATAGTTGACGCTTCACACGCGTTTTGTTTTTTATTTCTTTTGTTAACCATTTATTAGTAGCCGATTTAACATTCATTTTAATTAAATTTTTCTCTGATTTTTTAATTATGCAATTATGTATTACATCTATGAGTTTGTCATATAACTCGTCAGTCTCTTTATAGCTACTTAAAAAATTCCAATCGATTGAATGTATTTCAGCATGTATTTCTGAGAGAATTGTATTGCTAAATATACGTGTTTTTAGCATTTTTGCTTGTGTGTTGTCATCTATAGTTGTTATTGGAAAAGATATCTTCTGCGCTGTATGATCGGAAAGAGTTGAAATGATTACTTCACTGTTACAACTTTCTATGTTCACATAAATATTGTCAATAAGTGAGCTGGAATATTCAGTTATCCGTGTTGGTTTGTTGATAGGTGGTCTAAGATTGTGTCGGTTAAGCATATCTAACAATCTGAGAGTATTAGTATTTCTATTTTCTACATTTATATTTAAATCACCAGTTAATAATAATTTAGTTTTCAATGTTTGCGGTGAACATTCTAATAGTATGTCCTCTAAAATGTTAAAAAAGTCTTCTATATCCGATTTTGGTGATCGATATATACAGATAATCGTTACTTTTTGTACATTTCATTTTATAGCACTAAATTCAATAACAAACTCTTTACTTTTTTCTTTTATATTAATCAGCTCCGTGTACTTGAGATCGTTACGTACTAGTATACAGCTACCTCCATGTTGATTATTTACCCTTGAAAATGTTGAAGCCACTTTATAACCATCTACTAGTATTACTTCATTAGCTTTCAACCAATGTTCAGTCAAAGTTATTACATTTACTGTGGTATCTAAGGATTCTACGAAAACAAGCAGTTCATCAATTTTATTCCGAATACTCTGAATATTCTGATGAATCACTGTGAAAATCATTGGATTGTTTGATTCGTTGGTAGTAGTTATGGTATTAATATAATTAGTAAAAGTAGGAGTAGTTGTTATAGATACATCATGTTCTTCTATGTTGGGTGGGTTCTTTTGTAAATCATTTCTAAAAAACGACTTCTACGTACTCCTGATGGCCATAGCGTTGGTTTTTTTGTTTCATTTTGATATTCTATAGGTACTGACAGCTTAAATGAGGAATATTCATCGGGCCTCTTATAATTATTAGACAGGTTTGAAAACTTTGTCAAAATGTATAACACTCTTGAGATCTTGCTATGAATTCAGAGTATAACGCAGCTATTAGAATAAACGCTCATCAGCTGTATTTGACAGCCTTGCAATCAAACGTTGTTGTCGTCAATGCTTTCAAGGTGTCAACATAAATTATTTTGACTTCAAAAAGAACACTGCAACTTATTTTGCAAGCATGTACCAAGCAGATAGTGAGGCAACCTATGAAGTAGAAGTGAGCAAACCTGAGCAAAGTCAACATATTTGGCGACTAAAGTATAATCTATCAAACAATCTTGTACAAAAAACATGCACCAAATTCCAACAAATTTAACAATTCATGACACTTTAACTGATTCTTTTCATGATGTGTGTGTGAAGTTTTAGCACATTGAGAATAGATACAAGAATGAGGATATGGCTCAGATCTCTAATTACTGAGCAGCTACTAAGTTAGCTATGCATGAAATGTTCATCGAGACCAGTTTTGCAAAAATTTTGCCATTACTATTCAACTATTGTGTTCTTTGACACAATGTTTTGAAAAAAACGTAGTAAAGTTGAAAATGTGTATTTGATCCGCAGTTATTAAATGATTTCAGCATGAAAAACTATTATTGCAATGATTTTCGATTTTTGACACAGTTTTGGTTCAGTCTGGGCCACAGTGTGACGAGTCAAAAACGAACATATACTGTGTAATTGCATCGCCAGAGGCCGTCTAAGACACAAAATTTGCGGTAAAGCTCTGTTGACACCTACCGACATAAAGGAACAAGACCTTGGGACAATACCAAGGTTCATTATGAACCTACATTTGTCCTAATCTTTTGGTGAGCTAAAGTTATAGTAGATCTTACAGGTAGCGGTAATGAGGGGGGGCCACTCCCCTCAGCCTAGCGCTAGTTAGCATAAAATATCACTATGTTGCATATTTTTATTGAAGTAAAACTAGAACTAACACTAGCATTATCATTAGAACTAACACCAAGACCTAGAAGTAGAATCATTCGGGTTTAGTCGTCTTGAGAGACTGGCGACTAAATCCGAATGTTTCTAGTTATAGATCTAGTGTTAGTTCTAATTTTAATTATTTCTACAATTTCTTTAATTGTTTAATTACTTTCTAGTTCTAGGTCTAGTACTAGTTCTTTTAGACATCTCTTAAGACGTCCAAAACCTTTTTCCAAGCAAAACTTTTCCTTTGCAGAACTTCCTGTACTATACTATTAAGCTATAGTTCTTTTTTTTTTTCTATAATACTTGACAAGGTAAATTGTTTAGGATTTCTGTTGGTATTACCCTTATAAAATTTGTTGTTTTCTTGATTTTTAGTAACATTAGAATGATTAGTTTTTGCGTTTATTTTATTTTAATTTTATTACTTTTGGAATAACGAAAGCTCAAACGTACATTTATTTTAAAACATGATAAAACAAAACTCCCTGTTAATTTTGCCAACTTTACAACAATTTGACAGGTATTATAGAAAAAATAACGAACTATATGTTGCATTTTTTGTGGGATATTGTAAGTATATTGCAAGTTATATGAAATTCTCAGTAAATTTTTACTAATTTTTCACTAAAAAATACACTAAAATCAATTTCAAACTGGCTTAAACTCTAAAACTGTCAAGTTTGAAATTTTAATATCTTATGAGGCAAAACTAAGGGCAGCCAAGGAACTGCAGATGTTACAAGCAAGAAGATTTCTTATAATTATTAGACAGGCTTGAAAACTTTGTCAAATTGTATAACATTCTTGAGATCTTGCTATGAATTCAGACTATAACGCAGCTATAGAATAAACGCTCATCAGCTGTATTTGACAGCCTTGCAATCAAACGTTGTTGTCGTCAATGCTTTCAAGGTGTCAACATAAATTATTTTGACTTTAAAAAGCACACTGCAACTTATTTTGCAAGCATGTACCAAGCAGATAGTGAGGCAACCTATAAAGTAGAAGTAAAAGTCGAAATGAAGTCCATCAGCAAACCCAATATATTTGGTGACTAAAGTATAATCTGCAAAAAGCTTGCATCAAATTCCAACAAATTTTACAATTCATTATCATTGAGAAGAATGAGAATATGGCTCAAGTCTATAATTACTAAGTAGCTGCTAAGTTAGCTATGCATGAAATGTTCATCGAGATCAGTTTTGCAAAAGTTTTGCCATTACTATTTTACCTTTTTTAGTTCTTTGACACAATGTTTTGATGATAACAGAAAAACTCTGATGGATTTAATTCCTACCTTGATTAATGGGTTTCCCCGTAACACATCCATAAGCCATAATATCATTATATCCAAATGTTTTATGATAAGTATCACAAATCCAAGACATTTCTCTTTCTCCAGTTGCCATATCAGGAGCTGGGACGTCCAATTGTGGACCGATCATCATCTTTCTAGCTAATTCAATAGTTAATCTTCTCGTAATCCGTTCTAATTCGGTGACGCTGTAATTTCTCGGATTGATTTTAACTCCACCTTTTGATCCGCCGTACGGTAAATTAGCACTAGCACATTTATAAGTCATTAATGCTGCTAATGCATAAACTTCGTCAGCGCATACTCCGGTTGCGTATCTTATACCACCTTTGGTGGGCATTTTGTGGCATTTATGCATAGCTCGATAGGCTCGTATCATTTCGTAACTTCCGTTATCACGTTTAATTGGGAAATTAATTTCCAACATAGAATCGCACTGTTCCAAATAAGTCATTACATTTTTTACTTTAGCTTTTCGACACTCTTCATTCATCGGCGGTTGCCCTTTGATTTTTTTTAACGATTCAACCAATTTCTTTTCGACTACCAATCGGGCTTTGTGAAAATTGTATTGAACCATACTGTAAAACGCCGGATCCGCTTCTTCGTCGATATTCGCGAGTTCTTCGGGCATTACTCCGAGTTCGGCGTAACATCTTTGCGATGGTTTAGTGATGATGGTGATAACAGCGCGTTTCTTCGTTACGTGATGAAAATACAATTTTAAATGATTAAATAGAGACATTTATTTTTTGCCCAAAAAACGCAAAGTGACACAAAAATAATGATCAATTGACTGAAATATGACTTATTTCGATTTTTGTGATTGAGAATTTGTTTATATTTTTAATAATCATTTTATTGCTTAGATACATTTAATTTAATTTAAAACTTTTAATTTGATTAATCTAATATTAATATTCTTTGGATTAATACGTGAAAGGAAGTGTTTGAATAAATAATTTTAATGCATATAAATTCCAACAGGAATAATAACTAAAACTAGAGCGACCACTAATACTAGAACTAACACTAGACCTAGAACTAGAAACATTTGGGTTTAGTTCGATGAAAAATATATAACAATTTAGCGCTGAACAATAGCTAAAATTAGAACTAATTGCGCAAACCCGAAACTTTCTAGTTCTAGGTCTAGTGTTAGTTCTAGTTTCAGTTCAATGAAAATATACAACAACTTAGCATTGTAGTGTTAGTTCTAGTTTTAATTGTTATTCAGCGCTAGGTTGTAGTATATTTTAATTGAACTATAACTAGATCTAGAAGCATTCGAATGTTATTAATTCTAGGTGTAGTGTTAGTTCTAATGATAGTACAAGTATAAATTCTAGCTATTAGAACTAACACTAGATCTAGAACTAGACACTTTCAGGTTAAGAAAAGGTGTTTGACGTTACGAATGTCATGTTGCAACTTTTTTGTACTACACATCTTTGTTTTTTAAAATTTTAAAACCGTTCCTTGTATATCTTGAGACAGATACAAAGTCTTCTATAAGAAAACATTTACTTTAACTTCGCCAAGGTCGTTTGCGGGCGAGGCGCTAGGGTTTCCCAGGTTTGAGCTGAAATCGTTCCTTATATACCTTTGTAAAGGTAAAAAGTTTCTTATAACAAAACATTTAGATCACTTCGCCGAGGTTGCTTGCGGGTGAGACGCTGATTTTATAGTATCAAAACTAAATAGTCAGCTTTGAGAGATTCTACCGCCTCGTCCGCAAGCAACTTCAGCGAAATGAGGTAAATGTTTTATTACAGAAGACTATATCTTTACAAAGATGTATAAAGACGATTTTGCTTCAAATCGCAAAAGCGATTATAACGGATGGTGACTTTGTGACAGGTTTCAAAAGGGTTAAGGTGAAGCAAAACTTTTCTGAACGTCGTCTTGTTCTTGTAGGAGTGCCACAAGGGCCGATTCTCGGACCCCTGTTGTTTTCTATATACACTTTGAATTTATTGAAGGACTTAAAGTACTGCACGGGACATATGTACGCTGATGATACGCAGCTGTATGTATCTTTTGCACCGGACGACTGGCAAACAGCTCTCCAGAACCTAAATAGTGACTTAAATCAATTATATCAATTAACACTAAAGTATAATCTCCACTTGAATCCTTCTTAGTCTCAAGTAATTTTATTCGGTAGTTCTTTGGTGATCAAATCGCTTACCCCACAGTTTACAATTAGTATTAATAATGTTACTTTTCCGATAAGTGAAAGTGTAAAAAACTTGGGTGTTATCATGGATAACTCATTTCGATACAAAGAGCAGATTTCGTCTTCGTGCATTATACCCTCATCGTTGCTCTTTGCCGTTAACACTAAAGAAACAGCTGAATACCACTCACTAGTTCTATCTCATTTTGCCTACTGCGCTCTACTTTATCATGCCTCAATTGATAGTATTGATACTCTACGCATTCAACCAGTACAGAATGCTTGTTTGAGGTTTGTATACGGTATTTAAAAGTATTCTGCATAAACTTCCTGACATTGGTTGGTTAAATATGTTCAATAGACGTAAATTGCTAACGCTCTCTATTATAAGATTTTGACCAGTGGGAAGCTTTCCTACCTGACAAACAAAATAAGATATCGTTGTGATGTGCACAATCTGAATACGAGGTTCAGAGGTAGAATTTCTCCTCCTAAGTATGAGTTGTCACTATTTAGAAGATCATTCACGTACTAGATTTATGTACTTTACAACGATTTGCCTGATCACCTAAATATGTTATTTCTCAGAGCCTTTAAGTCTACCCTTGTCAACTTGTTACTATTCGATCAGTAGTGATTACTATTTAATCAGTAGTGATTACTATACGCTCAATAGTTATTTCTTTTATTTTTTTTTAAATTTATTTATATTTGTATAAGGGGTGCCATCTTTTATCTTATCTTACCTTTTATCTTAACTATTCTCGCTTGCCGTGACATTGCTCGCTATCTTACGTTTTGCTTTGTAATAAAATTTTCGTTAGTGGGTTGGATGTGAGCACATTTTTGATGTGTCATCTGGACCCCGCCTTACATATTTTATTTATACATTGTAATTAAGTTTATTTAATTCAATAAAAGGTATTATTATTATTATTAAAAAGAACGATTTCGCCTCAAATCGCTGAGGTCGCTTCCGGGCGAGGCGTTTCTTTTGATAAATCAACACGAAATAGTCATCTCTAGAAAGCTCTACTGTCTCGCTCGCAAGCGAACTCGGCAGAGTGAGGGTAAACGTTTTCTTATAGAAAAGTTTATATCTTTACAAAGATATAAAGGAACGATTTCGCTTCAAATCGCCAAGGTCGCTTGCGGGCGAGGCGCTAGTTTGATAAATCAACACGAAATAGTTAGCTCTAGAAAGTTCTACTGCCTCGCCCGCAAATGACCTCGGCAAAGTGAGGTTAAATGTCTTTTTATAGAAATCTTTGTATCTTTACAAAGATATAGAAGGAGCGATTTTGCCTCAAATCGTCAAGGTCGCTTGCGGGCGAGGCGCTAGTTTGGTAAATCAACAAGAAATAGTCAGCTTTAGAAAGTTCTACTGCCTCGCCCACAAGCGACCTCGGCAAAGTGAGGTAAATGTTTTCTTACAGAAGACTTTATATCTTTANCAAGTAATTTTATTCGGTAGTTCTTTGGTGATCAAATCGCTTACCCCACAGTTTACAATTAGTATTAATAATGTTACTATTCCGATAAGTGAAAGTGTAAAAAACTTAAGTGTTATCATGGATAACTCATTTCGATACAAAGAGCAGATCTCGTTACTTATGCGTAGAGCATATGCCAGTTTTCGTGCATTATACCCTCATCGTCGCTCTTTGCCGTTAACACTAAAGAAACAGCTGTGGGATTCACTAGTTCTATCTCATTTTGCCTACTGCGCTCCACTTTATCATGCCTCAATTGATAGTATTCAACGAGTGCACAATGCTTGTTTGAGGTTTCTATACGGTATTTAAAAGTATGCTCGTATTTCTCATAAACTTCCTGACATTGGTTGGTTAAATATGTTCAATAGACGTAAATTGTTAACGCTCTCTATTATAAGATTTTGACCAGTGGGAAGCTTTCCTACCTGACAAACAAAATAAAATATCGTTGTGATGTGCACAATCTGAATACGAGGTTCAGACGTAGAATTTCTCCTCCTAAGTATAAGTTGTCACTATTTAGAAGATTATTCACGTACCATATTTGTGTACTTTACAACGATTTGCCTGATGACCTAAAGATGTTATCTCTCAGAGCCTTTAAGTCTACCCTTGTCAACTTGCTAATGAGAGATCAATAGTTATTTATTTTTTTTTTAAATTTATTTAGTATATGGTGTGCCATCTTTTACCTTTTACCTTAACAATTCTCGCTTGCCGTGACATTGCTCGCTATCTTGCGTTTTGCTTTGTAATAAAATTTTCATTAGTGGGTTCGCTGTGAGCAGGGGCACATTTTTGATGTGCCATCTGGACCCCGCCTTACATATTTTATTTATACATTGTAATTAAGTTTATTTAATTCAATAAAAGGTATTATTATTATTATTAAAAAGAACGATTTCGCCTCAAATCGCCGAGGTCGCTTCCGGGCGAGGCGTTTCTTTTGATAAATCAACACGAAATAGTCAGCTCTAGAAAGCTCTATTGCCTCGCTCGCAGGCGAACTCGGCAGAGTGAAGGTAAATGTTTTCTTATAGAAAAGTTTATATCTTTACAAAGATATAAAGGAACGATTTCGGCTCAAATCGTCAAGGTCGCTTGCGCGCGAGGCGCTAGTTTGATAAATCAACACGAAATAGTCAGTTCTAGAAAGTTCTACTGTCTCGCCCGCAAATGACCTCGGCAGAGTGAGGTTAAATGTCTTTTTATCGAAATCTTTGTGTCTTTACAAAGATATAAAAGGAGCGATTTTGCCTCAAATCGTCAAGGTCGCTTGCGGGCGAGGCGCTAGTTTGGTAAATCAACAAGAAATAGTCAGCTTTAGAAAGTTCTACTGCCTCGCCCGCAAGCGACCTCGGCAGAGTTAGTTTAAACGTTCTTTTATAGAAAACTTTATATCTTTACAAAGATATAAAAGAAACAATGTTGCTTCAAATCGCCGAGGTCGCTTGCGGGCGAGGCGCTAGTTTGATAAATCAACACGAAATAGTTAGTCCTAGAAAGTTCTATAGCCTCTTCCGCAAGCTACCTCGGCAGAGTAAGGTTAAATATTTTTTTATAGAAAACTTTGTATCTTTACAAAGATATAAAAGAAACGATTTTGCTTCAAATCGCCAAGGTCGCTTGCGGGCGAGGCGCTAGTTTGATAAATCAACACTAAATAGTCAGCTCTGGGGAATTCTACCGCCTCACCTGCAAGCAACCTCGGCAAAGTGAGGTAAATGTTTTCTTACAGAAGACTTTATATCTTTACAAAGATGTATAAAGACGATTTTGCTTCAAATCGCCGCGGTCGCTTGCGCTCGAGGTGCTAGTTTGATAAATCAACACGAAATAATTATCCCTAGAAAGTTCTACTGCCTCGCCCGCAAGCGACCTCGGCTAAGTGAGGTTAAATGTTTTTTTATAGAAAACTTTATATCTTTACAAAAATATAAAAGGAACGACTTTGCTTCAAATCGCCGAGGTCGCTTGCGGGCGAGGCGCTACTTTGATAAATCAACACGAAATAGTTATCCCTAGAAAGTTCTACTGCCTCGCCCGCAAGCGACCTCGGCTGAGCGAGGTTAAATGTTTTTTTTATAGAAAACTTTGTATCTTTACAAAAATATAAAAGGAACGACTTTGCTTCAAATCGCCGAGGT